CCATGCCACAGTCATATTGTCATGCCTCAAACGCTATATAAAAGCACATGCCCTGTGGTGGAAGACAGTGAGAAACCCTAGAGCCACACAAAGCGAGCAGTTGAAGCTACGGTACAGAATGTAAGTGTAGATCGTCATGAGAGAATGCAGCATGCACGTACATACCTGCAAGTCCCCGCTAACCGTTTTGCAGTCGTCCTGGGATTGAACCGAACCGAGACGTATCCCCTTACCATAATTCCTCAACACAAGAAATCCGTCAAATCGCCCAAACTCCAGCATGAAGCTCTCCTTGATCTTTGCCCTTCCGTTCGCCACAATGGCACTTGCTATCCCGTTCCAAGCGGCGGATTCGGAGCCAAGTCCCAAACCGGCAGGCGACTTTTGCCATCCATGCAATCAGCCAGGCGGTGGATTCCAGTCCTGCTACAATTCCCAAGCCGACAAGTGGGTTATCCGCCTTTGCTAGGAGAACATGATGGTTTATTTTGGGGCACGTTGCTCTTTGCCTTTACGACATTCCCCTGTATTTGGCGCCACTCGTTTCCCACGGTGGGATAGATTTTGGGATAGAAGAAACCGGCTGGCATCGATGACATTTGAAGAGTATGAAGCTATCGGGCCTATGATCAAATAGGCCCCAGTTTTCGAGTCTTATAGTTGTGGAGAGGTAGCAGAACAAGTATGGATTGGTAGTTTAATCCACAGGGTCACACTGGAAAGCCAGTGTTGATAGAACGACTAGTTCCAATGGTAGACAATATTACTGAGATAATACCCAACTTTAACGGTGCGGTTAGTCGGCTTAGCTGGTTAAATAACACTGTGCTATCCAAGGTGTGACTTGTAGATTTAGCCGGGGGGTACCTCCTTGAGGCCCTCGAGCAGTCGGCTCCACGTATATCGATAGCATGTGCAGTTTAACTGGCTATTGAGCGAACCCCGATAAGTTCTATGCGTCACTCGGCTGTCTCAAATGCGATTTCGAAAGTTTGAAGATCATGATATAGCTGCACAGAACACCTATCATCGCCACAAAGCTGACAAGCCCCCAGACGATATTGACACGGTCCTGAGTACTGACAGCGTCCCATCCTTCGAACTCTTGCATGATCAGGAACAGTCGATGTATATTAAGTAGCATTGACGGGAGGCAAAAGCTAAGCAAGATCCATTCCTTTTTGCCTAGCCGGTCTGCACTATGTTAGCAGTTAGAAATTCGTCCTGAAAGCTAGTGAGCTTACTTGCGTTGCCGCCGCCAGATCTATCATCCAGCTTAGTGTTCGTGGCATTATCTATTCTCTCTACCACATTTCAGTAAGACTGGCATTCCTTGAGATCTTTCTAGGAAGCAGGAATAGTACCCAAATGAGGTTTAGCTAATTCCTTCTCATTCTGCTCGAATGAAGGGTAGTAGGGGCTCAAAACCATCGAGATAAGTGATGGTAGAATAAACACGATAATCAAACGCAATTAATCGATCGTAGAAACTTGATATTATCGATCAAGCAAATGAAAAATGGACAGCCTTGCTGAAAGAGCTGTCGACATTATGGGCGTAGTTCCAGTGGCCAGCACCGCCTCTTTCGTCGAGTCTTACGAAGACGAATAACCGGACAGAAGCCAAATGTCCGCTAGTTCATTAAGCCCTACTCAGGAGCAACTCCTAAGTACGATAGTTCAGAGACCAAGCTGGCATTACCCTGATTCCATATTGAATCGATGATGGATTGTGGTAAGAATCTCCGTCTCGTCCAATCATGACTAAGCACCTTGGCGCAGAGGTTTGTGATAGCTTGGCACCACGTGATAGCTTCCCTGCCGCGACTTTTGCGAAAGAACAAACGCGGCGAGCAACTTGGGAATTCGGCGATCTGCTCACCTTCTGAGTCTTTGCATCATTACTCAATTGCCAGCCTCCAACTTCTCCGCTGTCAGCAGCTCCAGGCGCATACTCTGTGAATGAGCCGCCAAAATCCTGCCGCCAGAATGCAGGACCCAGCCGGGGGTGTGCCGCAACAGCTGGTGAGTTTCTTGAACTGCTGTCTACTGTCATTCGCAAAGGGTCCGGTCCATTGATGTGTTTTCTAGTTGCCACACATGCACCTTGTTTCAAGCTATAGATATCCTTCGATGGCCAATCTTACCATGGAAACTGCCGTGGATTACCTTCTGTCAGCACCCAAGGTTGTTAGAGAGCTGCAGCCGATGCACTGGATGTTCCTTGATGCGCCTCCAGATGGGACAGTCATGCTCGCCTGGCAACCTCTAAATCACCTAGGCACAAATTTCGCGAGTGATGGCTACGTGTGGGGAGATGCAGAGCAGGTCTACACGACTGAGGCGCGGGGATATGTATGGAGCTCCCACCACCCGAATCATCTTTCCCATATCAAGCAGGCCAGTGCTAATTCAAATGACAGACTGTTGAAATGTGGCTCCATCGCTGCGGCTACCATCCACCTCATGAAAGCGTCGCTACCCATGCTCGAAGACGATTTCGACTGACCCCTTCGAAAACGCCAAACCCGAACTTTCCTCCACCTGACCCGTCTCTTTGGATTATTCACTACTCCAAGGCGCCCTCTATTGATCAGATCCCGGTTACTCATATTGCTGTTCCTCCAGCAATCCATAACGTTCTCGCTCAACGCCGGTTCCTTCAGAGCCAAGGCCAGCTGGCACGAAAGGAATTTATGCTCCATGACCGCAACAGTTGGCCCAGTATCAACCTTCCACCTCAAGTAGGGCAACAGCCGTATGCGCAACCCAATCACTACGCCCAACAATACATGACGCGCCCACCTCAAGCTCCATTCTTCCAACCCCCTCCAGCTGCACCCATGCAGGTTGCGTCGGCTAAAGTTCCTCGGGGGCACAGGGCCAGTGGATCCACTGCTATTGCGGCCGGGGCGCTTCCAGACTTCTCTTTAGAAGACGAGGAGGTATCAACAGGAGATTTTCTTGATAATATCACGCCACGAGAGATTAGTCGTTTAAGATATCGCCATAACCACGAATGGATGGAAGAAATATTTGATTCGCCTTACCGGATAAGTCAGATTTTACCAGTGGGGCTGGGTCTTGGCCGAAAGGGTGAATTAGAATCTCTTACAAAGGGATATTTGGAAGCGCCGACTGGGCCTTCACCTCCTAGCGCAGAGGCCGATGCTGCAATTGGAAAATTGGAACCCGAAAAACTAGAGGAGTTTACTAGTGCCGTTACCAAGAAGGTGGCTGATGTGACCGCTGAAATAGAGACACTCAAAAAACGGCATGCGAAACGACTTGAAAAAATCAAACACCTATCCGCTTTGAAAGAAGGAGAAATACAGCTACGCGACGCTTATGTTGACCCATCCAATGCAGGCACAGAGTTTTGGCGGATTGAAGACCGGTTAAGACCCATTATTGTCAAAGAAGATGGAATGCAGGTTGAATATCATGAGGCCAAGCCAAAGACCAAAGTTTCTGATATTGCTACGGAAGTCCAAAAAGCTTGGGGTGAACCAATCGTCCCTTTGAAGGAAGTTATTTGTGTGGACAAAGGCGGATTCCAGGAGCCGGCTCAAGAGCCCCCAAAAATGACGCCTCATGCTGCAGATACGGCGATGGAAAACACAGACATGTCGAAGATGACTACGTCGCCTGCAGCAGTACCTCAATTCGTAGCGGGGACGCAAGGAGGGCCAGCGCCAGCAGGATCAATGCCAGGCGCCGGCAACGCACCACAGGGCGGCGTCCAACCCAGTGCTCAAACGGGCGGAGACATTGACATGGGCGGCGTGGATGACGGTCAGGCGCGCCAAACAGCTGATCAGCTAGGAGAAGATTGGGTCATCGTGAATAACAAAGATGCAAAGGCGTCAAAGGGTGTTAGCCCGAAAGTCAACCCAGCTCGAGCCGGCGGACAGTCAGCGCCCACAGGCACTCCCGGGAAAGGAATAGAGGGCTCTACGCCTGGAAATAACGCCAGCCTTGAGGCGCCCGAAGTCCTAGAAACGAGCAATTTTGAAGACGCGGCGAGCTTTAGCCATATTGATTCGGCTGGCGAAGCGCTGGCGGCCTATGATGAGAACAGCGGGCTGGATTTGGGAGGGCTGGACAATTCGGCGTTTGGCGACGCGTTCCATGCGTCCGAGGGAGAGCATCAGCATCACGACACTGAAGACATTTCGTAAGACAGCCATGAGACGGGGGGTGTAATGTGGCGTACTGCGTTTCTTCTGTCCCACTAAGAATGGAGTCGGGTGTATCTCTCCAAGGTTCGGGAAGCGGTGGGCTACTGGGATAGGAATTCAAGTATTCACATCTGATCCTTTGACTGTGCACCGTCCGCGTCCAAACAGGAAAGAAACCCGACAAGCCACAGGATGGAGTGCCAAGCCCACGCTGCGGGTCTCCTGCATTAGCGCCCGCCGGTGCAGCGCCAATCAGCCACACAAACCTGCCAAACGGGAGCATCGCGAAACACCAACACTTCGGACGACACGCCAGCCCAATCGGCGGCACAGCTCGACTGCCTGGAGCGCAACTGTCAGGCAGATGGATTTGGTGCGGATGATCAGATCGGGTCTAGGGGCGTGTGTTCCATGCGCGCAGTGGACAAGGCTGCATGATGACATCATCTGATCGAGCCGTCAGGAGATCCGATGCAGAAGCCATCAAAACGGTTCGTGGCTTTGATCTTATCTGCAAGATCGCGCGGGCAGACAAGCGCATTTGACAGCTTCCTGGAGCCGTTCCGAGTGGAACAGCCAAAAAGCTCAGTGTTTCGACCTTCCATTTCTCTCTCTTTCTCTCCAGGCAGTAAGGCGTCTCGAGGACGCAGCGCCGTTTTTTTGAACAGGCAGACCTCTTGATTTTCTCGACTCTTGCTCTGAATAATGAGCACAGCAATTATTATGCCTTGAGAACGTGAGCTAGGCTGTGCTCATCCATCGGATTCCTGACATCATGCGTGCCTGGCACACTCCTATAAATTCTCCCTTCTCCCGTACCTTTTCTTCTCTTTTTTTTCCTTCATACACCATCAACAATAAGTCTTTTGAGTCGATCATCTGAGGAACTACTTCTCTTTTTACCACTGCACTCTGAATAAATTGTCAGCTCAACCAAGTCAAGTTACTTATATACCCTTCGCAGCCGCTCAAGAAGTGAAGTCAACAAAGTGACACACCTGTGTCGCGATCGCTAAGTATCTTTCGTATTCTACCACCAGCTGAGAACTTTTCCCTGCTGAATACTTTGCTCCGTCCGGTGATCTGTCCGATCAAGTGAGTGTCCTTCAACCTGAGGATTTTTATTCAGCCACAAGCACCCCTGATCTTCTCCAGACAACAAGGGCTAACATCAAATCATAGCCTTCAAGCAGAGGCCCAGATAAACTCCCCTCTGGGAGCGCCGTCACTCTGTTTGTCCCAGAGTCTCTCGCTTGGTCCTCTCTCAAGTTTGACTTGCACTCGTTTCACCCCAGAAATTTCCCCATCGGCGATATTCTTCTCATTCTGTTTGTTATTTTCTTCGTTGCATTCGGTCTTTGCGCCAACATCCCGACTCCTTCTGAGCCTGAGATCTCACCGGCCCGTGACGAATCCTCAAACATGGACTTGTTCAAGGATATTTACATCGTCCGCCGCACCAAGACATACCGCACCTATACCTTTCGCTGCGTACCCCGTGAGAGAGTTTGCAAGACCCGGCCGACCTGCATTGTCGTCCGACCAGATCCAGACCCGGTCTGCCACTATCGTCGACCGGCTCGGGATTATGGACATTGCCACGCGCGGCCAGCAGCACCACGGCGGAAGCCCACCCGGAACGCAAAGTATGTTGAGATTAGGCCAAAGGGATATGGCTATGGAGACCAATGGAGCTACCCGTGTTGGTGAAAGTTGTCCATCTCATGGAAGGAGAGCCTTGTACGATTGTTTACGTTTTCGATGCCCGTTGATGATTTTTTTTTTTTTTTTTTTGCGGTTTTGGGGATAATGATGGCCCGGTTTCAGTGTTGGCTCAGCTAGTTATTGGGGTGTTTCATGGCGCCTTGTTGGTCTATATGTTTGATCGGTTGATTTTGAACGTCTCCTTTTCATTAGTTTTTGGATCTTGCCTCGGAATGGAACAATGAATTGCAAGATCGTCATGGTTGATGTCGCGTTAAATGCTTTTATATGAATAGCCTATTAATACAAGGTCATTGACAGCCAAATCTTTCTGCACGTCTCCCGCTTCTCGTAGATTGAGCATCCAATGTATCTACATATGTATGTACTGTACGTTTTTTGGTACGTTTTGGTCCTTCAAAGATTGATGTACCATCACGGTACAGTCTCCATTTTAAGCATAACCTTTTTGACTATCTTAGCAACACGGCAACGGAGAAGTTGCAGGAGATGCATTGCCTCTACACTCTCAACCTAATTGAGTTGACGATATAAGGATTAGAAAGGGAGTCTTACTGCTTTGCCGTCTCCTAGCATGTAAGTTTTGTGGCGTCCATGGGTCAACGATGCAAGTCAATTCACTCACACCGCAGAGTTCAGGTAGGAATCCGGTTATCGACACAACTGCATCGCTCGCCCGGCTCAGGCTTCTGGCGATTTATATCTCTCGCTGTCCATGACGTCAAGAGAGCCTGACGGCCAATATGGCCACCTGCCGTCATCGAACGAAGCCAAACAGCCCGGATGGAAGCTCCCGGGAAAGCGCAAGCTGGATATTCCACTTTTCTCCTCTTCTCGATTCTTGAAGCAGTTGATGCGAGATCAGTAACAGCAGCTGTTTATCGATAGATCAGGACAAAAGCGGACAAAATGTGGGCTGCTCCCAAAGAATCAATTGCAGATGATGCGGGCTGACTCCAATTTTTCAAACCAGGAATCGTGGAAAGAGAGGGGCCCCGGAGCCTCGACCGAGGCATCGGTTCACCATGGCTACACTCCGTGGAGAGCGACAGCCAGAGATCAGCAAGAAGCTCTTTAAGATGATCAAGACGGAGAACCACATCATCGATGCCTACGAATCTGCAGGGCGAGACCGGATCTCCGTGGCATCTCAATTGTCCGAATGGGGCGAGTCGACAGGAGATGCTGCCATCTCTGACCTGTCGGACAAGCTGGGCGTCGTTCTCGCCGAGATTGGGGAGCAGGAAGACAATTATGCTCAGAATCTAGAAGACTCTCGCAATGTTTTGAAGCATATTCGAAACACGGAGAGCTCCGTCCAGCCTGCTCGTGACCACAAGGCAAAGCTCATTGATGAGATTCACAAGAACAAGCAGCGGGATCCCGGCAGCTCCAAGGTAACTACGTTGGAGCAAGAGCTTGTCAGGGCAGAGGCTCAGGCCCTGGTTGCTGAGGCACAGTTGACCAATATGGTAAACCCCCCCCAATGATCTATCAACCCCGGTTCCAATTACGCTAGAGGATGTGACTGACAAGGTCTGCTTTGCTGGACAGACACGGCAAAAGTTCAAAGAGTCCTACGACATGCAACTGGCGGCCACGATTGAAAGGGCTGAGAAACAGTTGATACTCGCTCGGCATGGACGCAGAATCCTGAATCTGCTCGATGACACCCCGTTGGTGCCGGGCGAGGCACGTAAGCCTTACGAAGCAACAGAGCAAGGAAAGCAAGTCCTTGAGGAAGCAGAACAGGAGTTGCGCTCGTGGGAGCCTAGTATGGAGCCGGTCACGTCGTCTGCCGGAGGAGTCGGGGCTGGAATGCTCCCAACCCAACCCCGAGAGCAGGCGGCGAATGGAGATTATACTGACGGCGGGCGAGAGGAGATCACGTACGAGAAGGAGACGTTGACTGTTAACGAGCCTGGAGGAGCTGGAACACACATTGCGTCCTGATTGATATGGCTGGAAGTCTGCGGATACTCCATCTCTTCGCGTTCATTGAAGTAATACACACGGGGAAACCCGCTGGTAACTGAAGTCCGAGTTCAATTTCGGTGCCTTCAAACCTGGGAAATGGTCGGTTTCTGTGCAAAAATGTAGCTTAACTCTAGTATGGTTGAGCCTTAATAGCTTGTAATGCTTTCTCATATGATCAGGATGTATCCTTCAATCCAGATTTCCACTTCCAAGCATCAATATTCTCTCTGTGTCAATCGTTGTCTTCCTTCCTTGCCCCTTGCTGCCGCCGATGTTTTGATAGAGAGGCTTACATAATCAGGCGCCAGCACGACCACGAAGCTCCGTCAATGAAGCTCTTCGATCAAACCAACATCGCTGTCCAAAGCTCCCACGGCATTCTCTCTGTACACTACCTATATACTGCAGTCTCTGTTGCTCTCTGTCTTGTCTCTTAGCCTTCATTTCCGACTGCCCTACAAATGGACGCCATAGTTGCTCAGTACTCGCGGTCGCACTGCCAGGAGCAGGCCTTCAACCAGCAAGATGACCAGGAAATCGTGACACTGCTTCCTCCCCTCTCACTGAGATTCGATTTACCTCCCATTTCTCAGGTAATACCAGATCATCTCACATCCAAGCTTCCCAGGTCCCGTTTCGTTCTAACGCCCGCTGGATTAGCCCGCTTCATTCCTCCGAGCGATGACAGACGACCACGCCAATCCCAACTGCCCAATCAAGCTTGCCCACGGAACCACGACCCTTGCTTTTCGATTCAAGGGCGGAATCATCGTCGCTACGGATTCCAGAGCCACTGCAGGGAACTGGATTGCGAGTCAAACGGTGAAGAAGGTCATCGAAATCAATAGCTGCTTGCTAGGGACTATGGCTGGTGGTGCTGCTGTATGCTTTTTGAGTCACGACCTAACGGGGGGGAAATAATGAAATGAGTTTCGCTGACTAGCTTGACTCTACAGGATTGTCAATACTGGCTCGCATATCTCGGCATGCTCTGCCGACTTCACGAACTCCGCCATAAGCGCCGAATCTCTGTTGCCGCAGCATCCAAGCTTCTTGCGAACCTCGTCTACAATTACAAGGGGATGGGCTTGAGTATGGGTACGATGTGCGCCGGTGTAACTCCGCAAGAAGGCCCGGCTTTGTATTACATTGACTCGGATGGAACGCGATTGGCAGGCAATCTCTTCTGTGTTGGATCCGGCCAGACATTCGCCTACGGTGTGCTGGATGCGGAATACAGATACGACTTGACTGAGGAGGAGGCGTTGAGTCTGGGACGCAGGAGCATCCTGGCCGCCATGCATCGTGATGCTTATTCCGGAGGCTCTGTCAATCTGTACCACGTGAAGGAGGAAGGATGGGTGAAGCATGGTTTCAGCGATATGAACCCCATATTCTGGAAGGAGAAATTAGAGACTGGCGAGTTCTCCAATGTTCCCATGAAATTAGAATGATTTGCTTTGTTTTAGGAGCATGGGATAACAGATACGTATCATTTTTTTTTTTTTTTTTTTTTTTTCGTTTTGTCATGTTCGGGGACTTGTCCCCCTATCAAACTTCGGTTCTCGATGAGGATAGGCGCATAAATGAGTTGTAAGACTGGGTTAACTGTAGACTACGAGGGCTCGTTTGGCTAATATGCTCATCTTCTCACTTATGGGGTCTTTGCAAGACATTGCACAGAACGATCAAAGATAACTTTGGAACGTATAAAAATCATTGCCCTAATTCAAGACTCGAATAGACTCATCCATATTGCGCCTTTTCACGCCTCCTTGTGTGGGATGCCCTAATCTGATCACTTTTTTGCAAACCCCCTTTATTAATTATCAACATGAAATTTCATCCTCACCCCCATCGCCGCCAGCTCAACATCCAGATACTTCAACACCCCCGGCACCGCCACAACAGTCGTCTGATCGCCGCCAACAAATCTCCTCCCCGACCCATCTTCCCACACTTCAGCGCGCGGATCGTCAAACACCGCGTCCCGCGCACACCTCCTGCACCGGACAATCCCCGACAAGCCGCCCAACGCGCTCACGCCGCCCGTCGGCTTCGCGACCGCCACGCTGCTCGACTTGACCACGGCCTCCATGGCGGGATTCTTATGCGGCGAAAGCAGCTGCGAGACCGCGACCTGCGTCGACAGGAACGAGCCGCACGTCCGGCACAGCCAGGCGCGCGTCGAATCGGAGCAGTTCATCAGGCGGTCCTGGAGCAAAAACGCCGCGCCGTGGGCGAGCAGCGCGTCGCGCTCCATCTCGCCGACACGGATGCCGCCGCCCTTGGCGCGGCCCTTGACGGGCTGGCCCGTCAGCGCGTTCACGGGGCCGGTGGTGCGGACTTGGAATTTGTCGTTGACCATGTGGCGTAGTCGCTGGTAGTAGACGACGCCGAGGTAGATGTCTGCGGCGAACTCGCGGCCCGTGACGCCCGAGTACATGGGCTCGTTGCCGTGGAAGTTGTAGCCGGCTTTGCGGAGCTGTTCGCCAAAGTGGTCGCCCGCCGTGTACTCCTCGGAGAACTGAAAGGGCGTGCAGTCCTGCGCGAGGCCGTGGAGGGCGCCCGCTTTGCCGGCGAGGGATTCGACAAACATGCCGATTGTCATGCGAGATGGGAACGCGTGGGGGTTGATGATGATGTCGGGCTGGATACCGGATTCCGAGAATGGCATGTCGACAGCGGGCCAGAGCTGCGAGCATACACCTTTTTGGCCGTGGCGAGAGGAGAATTTGTCTCCGATAATCGGCTTACGGGGGATGCGATATTTGATGCTGATAGCTTGACAAGGCTCATTGCCTGTTTCGGAACCAAGGATTCGGATGCTGTCGATGTAGCCCTCTTCGGCGTCCTTGTATTTGAGGAAATGCGTCTCCTTGTCCACATTGAGGTACGTCTCCGCAGCCGGGTCATACTGGACTGTGTGCCATGCTGCAACCAGGTCGCCGTCCTTCACCCTTCCTCCAACGTGAGGCAAGCCGTCTTCGCCAAGTTGGTTGCGCCATTCAGCCTTGACAAGTCCTCCTGGTGCAAATCCAAATAGCTTCTTGATTTCGCGTTTCGACTTGCCGCGACCACGCGCCTCTTTATCGTCAAGTGGGTAGATTTTTGTTTTGTAGATTGTTCCATACCCAAAACCACGTTCATGCGCTGATTTGTTGATGATCATAGCGTCGTCCATGTCGTAGCCCGTATATGAAATAACAGCTACGACGGCGTTCATTCCATTAGGGAAGTTGTCCAAGCCATAGGCGTTGTATAGCGGAGGTCGGGCAATTGGCGTCTGGCCAGTCTGCAGTTTGTAGAGTTTGTTGTCTGTTCGATAATCTATCGATGTTCCAGGCGTACCCATTGCTTGTTTACCCATCTGGCACTGGTACATGTTACGCGGTGACTGGTTGAAATCGGAGAATGGAGTCATATTGGCGAGAATCGAGAGGATATGGGTCGGGTCAAATTCAACATGGGTGGAGATGCCTGACATGATATCGGAGGGTACACATGCAATCTCCATAAACGGTTGCTCGAAAGGACCAACGTAGTCTAACTTGTCTAGTGGCAAGTATTTCACGGGTCTGTACATTCGCGCACATTGAGAGAAGAGATAGACCCCGGGATATTGACCACCGTTCGAGTTGGGAACATAGCCCACCTCAAGCTCAACAGGGATCTTCGGATGTCCCTCGACTTTCCAATGTCGAAGGGTATCGGAGATCACGCGAGCTTGCTTGGGGGAGCAATATCCGACTATCCTGCCGTCCAACGATACGGCAACACTCTCTTCTGTCGAAGAGGAGGACTCGGAGCCAACTCCAAGGATTGATAGCACCTCAGGGACGCCGGCGACGTTCAAATTGCTCGTTGCTATTAAACACTTGTGGGCAAGATGGTTCAAAAGACCACAGGGACTGCCGTCAGGAGTATGCACCGGGCACAGGAAACCCCAACTTTCCGGTAGAAGCTTTCGAACCGTGGTTGTCTTCAGCTGGGCAAAGAAACTACCTCTATGGATCATGCGGAAGTGACTGATGAATCGGTAAAAGTTGATCTTTTCGGCCATGATAGTGTACCCGGATGGCTGCTGGAGATCAAGCCCGGTAGGACTGACAAGATTTCCGGTCGATAAGAAGTATTCCAAAGCTCCACCGATGTTTTCATTGGTCCTGGCGACTATGCGACTAATGAAATCCTTCTCGAATCTCGCGTCAGTAAACGGCAGGCCTAGGTTCTTGTTACTCCAGTCCCGTGCTATAGGCCCGATGGAGCGCAGCCATTCCTCCAGACGTTCCTTGAGGATCATTCCGTACAGGAAACCTCCGAGTAAGACTTCCTGGTTGGAGACAGCATCAGGATTGTCAGGCGCACAGTCGCCGGCCACTAGAGTGTAAAGCTTTCGAATAATGAAGAGGATCATATTGAATTTGTCGTTGTCTTGAGACTCGGTAACGTTTTGATTCCCAAGATGGGGGAGCACGATTTTGCGGAGGAATTCAGTGCCAACGTCCTCATCTGGCACATTCTCCGACATGCCTAGGACGTATCTGAACTTCTCGCCCAAGTAAGCTCGGCATTTGGATCTGGAATGGACTCCGTAGGCCTTGTAAGTTCGTAGAAGCAGCTCCATGCGGTCTGTGACAAAAGTGTTTTTCATTCCCAACGAACCCTCTCGTCCGACCAGGCGCTCAAAGATTTCTCGGTCGTTGGTCTCAATCAGAGCCTTCAGGATCATCACAACTGGGACGAGGTATTCATTCTTCCTCCAAGAGAATCTGAACGTGACGTTGCCGTCGCTGAGATAATGAAGGACGTTTGTCTGAGACGTCTGATCCGGTCTGACAGATCGAATCTGCACACCGTACTTGGTATAAGTGGCCCCACGTTTGGTAAAGGAGTTTCGAATAATGGCCATTGGGAAATTTCTTCGCGACACGATCAACATTCGGATGAGCTTCTCGTTGCCGTTGACGATGAAGTATCCGCCTAATTCCTCGGATTCTTCCTTGCGTTCCACCAATTGAGACGGCGAGAGCTTTTCCAGGTGGCATCTATTTGTCTGCAGAGTTGAGAAGGGGATTCAATTAGCTTGTCCGGATTATCTATCGGGTTCAATTGAGGCCAGACTGCTCACCCGTAGCATAATGGGAACCTGGCCCAATTCCCGAACAGACTCTTTCCAATCCCCATTGTTGACTTTGTACTCGACTCTCGCCCTCAACCTGCCACGATATGTGGCGTGTCTCTCGCGACATTCCGCGGGGAAAATCTCACGGTTCCGAGGGCTGAACTTGTTCGAAGCCGGCAGCACCGCTTTCTCCAAGAACAACTCCGTGATGCGCACACTCAGCCTGTTCCTTCGCGGAGCTTTTTTACCTTCCTCCCGCCTTGCCCTCCTTAGCTCCGGGGTCTCTGGAACACCGTCGAGGAAGGTCTTGGTGCCAATGTCTTTTAGCGCAGCTTCGAGGACCTTGCCGTCGTCGAAGAGGGCGTTGAAGGAATCGATATGGGGCCGCACGGCAGCCGCTAGCATGGGGTACGCGGTATGGTCCTTTGGCGGGTTTCGGAACAGCCGTTCTCGCCTGAGAGTGTCGTACTGGACGGACCAGTCTGTTTTGGTGGAAGACGCCATGCTTGCTTGGAGGAAGATATCAATTTGCGATTAGCGGCGCAACGACGCACTCTTGTCCATATCACCAGGCAGCCAAGCGACAATCAACGCACGAGCTTGCAATTCAAAAAGGGACCGAATGTCCGTCGTCGCAGCTGGAATCGTTGCTTCGAAGCTCGAAATATTTTCTTGCGGAAGTATATTGCCCCGTTCCGATGGTATGATTACTAAGCGTTGAGTGTCCATCCGGATTCCACAAAGGGCAAAGATAGTAGAATAGTTGCGGATCAGTGTGCTTGACATGATTCCCGTGCGGCTGTGGCATTGCTATGGGAGAGTTGTGGCAATGGAGCTTAGGTGTAGATACTAGACGTAGATATAAACAAGCCGTATTGATGCAACATACACTCATGTCCCAGCGGTGATTTTGTGATTCTCTTTAGTTCCATCAATTAGTTAACTAGCGCCGGGAAGATCCCTGTGAATCCAAAGACGCGAACCGCAGGACAGACAGCAAGAAACATCCGAACCCGAAGGCAGTCTGATCCCTCCAAGTGCCCTTGATCCCTAACCCCCCGACCCCTTTTAGCCGCCAGTTTCGTTGCACCGAGCGTCCACACCCGCTGTCCGCCAGCAACAGGAAAAGAAACGGATGGCCAGTCTGGTCATGTGTGCATGCACATCCCGGCTGCCTACAGCATAACTTTCCCCAGGTTTCTACTTCTCCCCCTTGCTGGTAGTTCGTTTCTCTGGGATTTCCATTCTCGCGCTGTGTTTTCCTTTTTTTGCTGCCAGTCAGCTAAGACTAACTAATAGCCAACTCTCGGTGATTTACACTGTCAGCCTTGGTTGATTTACTTTTTTTTGTTGCATGGTTTCCAAGCTGTATGCGACCTTTTGAATAGCGTGCGCACTTTTGCACCTCGGACGCCACAACACTTTTCTTGAGAAGCGTTGACTTGAGGAAAAAACAAAAATTCAGAGCAAACTGGAACAAGCATCTCTTTTCTCTTCACCGACTCAACTCCAGCAGAAATAAACAAAAACACCCCTGTGTCACCATCTCGACTCTCTCTCTCTCTCTCCCTTTCTCTTTCTCCATCTCCCCGCTTCCTTGTCGCTGGGCCAGAAACTATACTCGAATTTTCCATCATTGGACCGGTTTCGCGGGGCCCTTGTGCTTGATATTTCCTCCTGATTTCTCAAAGAACACCGGGTGCATCTGGTGGGAGCCGGGGTTGGGATGGGGAGCTTTTTTAGAGTCATCTATGACTGGTTGCTCAGGATGTTCTGGTTAGTTGGCTTGTTGTACTTCCGCACCGCACGTTGCCAGCAGACGCAGCTGTGACGGAGGGCAAAAGGGCGTCTGCAAAGGCTTTGGACCAGACGGGACGGGGCGATGGGCTAATCGGTCGCTTTCGTGATCTGCTAGGGCAACCGAGATGGACGTGACGATGGTTGGTCTGCATAACGCGGGCAAATCGTCGTTGCTGCGAGTGTTGGCGGTTAGTATTTTCAAACTCTCACTGGTCCCAGCGCTAACGGTACTACTAGGGAGGTGAATTCGCGATTGAGTATGTGTCTATCCCCGTTGAATGCCGTCCTGGAGGGTGATTCTGGGGCCACAGTGCAAATATTAAAAAAAAAAAAAAACAGTTCGATTCCAACCATCGGCTTCAACACCAAACGAGTGCAAAAGGGCCATGTAACGTTGAAATGGTGAGGGGCGCTGCAAAATCGGAGAGACGGCGGCAGCGACGGCTAACAGCTGAGCAGTTGGGATCTGGGCGGACAGCCCAGGTTCAGACCGATGTGGGAGCGGTACTGCCGTGGAGTGCACGCGATTGTGTAAGTTTTCCGTTCGGCACCAGGGAGAGCTGAAGCGCGGTTGTGTTGGCTAAAGAACGGCGGGGGAAACAGATACATTGTCGACGCGGCGGACCGGGAGGCATTGCCCGTGGCGACGGACGAGCTGCACGAGCTGGTCAGCAAGCCGTCGCTCGACGGCATCCCGCTGCTGGTTCTGGGCAACAAGTCGGATCTGCCCAACAAGCTGTCGGTGGACGAGCTGATCGAGGCGATGGACCTGAAGTCGATCACGCGGCGCGAGGTCAGCTGCTACGGGATCAGCGCCAAAGAGGAAACCAACCTGGACGCGGTGCTGCATTGGTTGATTGCGCGGTCGAGCAAGTGATGGCGAGGTTCTCTCTAGGGCAGTGGCAGTGGTTCCGGCTTTTTCATCTTTTGCATTCGGGTTTGGGAATTTTTCGTCTTTAGTTTGATGGTTAGTTTTGGTCTTGCATTTTTCAACATCATGGTTTTTACGACAGCGGGTTCGTTGAACGTGCTTCCATTTCATACTAGAGCGCTTAATATTCAATGTCAAAAACAGTCAGAAAGAAGAAAAGCCCCAAATCCCGAGGACCTGCCAGCCCTTTTTATCCCATCTCTCTGGCCGATCCACATGCGAGACACACGGACGTTGATGTGCTGGCAGCCGCGACATGCAGCTGTCTCTTTTTTTCCGTTGGCCGGGGAAAATCTCGACAGGGTGAATGCCTGTCTGACCCAAACAGTCGCATACACGTGTCATGGGAAGAGCATGATTGTGGAGGATGGAGGATGCGTGAGGATGATTGTCAATCTACAGCCGGTGATAGATAGTTCTGAGTTGGATGATGGCAAGTTAGTTAGCTAGTCAATTGACTGTGGGATGGCTGTTAACTATTAAAACCGAGTCTTGTTCTAGAGGCTGGGAGATGCTTGAAGCCCAACCCCGCTGGATTCCGAGACTAACTTAGTAAGGCGGGCTGAATTGAGATGACATAAGCATATGCGCAGCCACACTGAGCCACTTTGGTCGTCATTCTGCTAGGAAGAAGAGCATCAAGTCTGGAACTTGAAGTCTTTGATGAACCATCTCTCGTCTCTGTCTCCCATCACTCTCTCACTGCATCACCCTCTCTTGCATCCATCTGAAACTTGAAAATGATCCTCGCGAAACGGAGAGAGTAAGCTGCCCTCTGTGCTTTGCACCCACTGCCTCTAACCTTGCTCTAGATGTTGGACCTACGACAACGGCCGCACCTATCACTGCAGTGTCTGGAGCGACTGGGGCCGCTGGGTCTTTCTCGCAATCCTCATCGCCGGTGCTTTCCTCCTCTTCTTCCTCTTCGCGTGAGTACACCCATCCATCTACCTGGAGCACCCATCTCACCACCCCTCTCTTTAAGATGCATCTCCGCCCGTCGCCGTCGCCGTAGAGGCATGCGGCCCTTCATGGGCACCGGCTGGGTCGCCAACATGGCACCCTACGGCAAGCCAGGAACCCACCCCCCGCCTCCACAGTACCAGCACTACCCGCCTCCCCCGCAGTACACGCCCGCCGGAGGGCCCTACTACCCCGGGCCGGGCTACAATGCCAACCCCCCGCCGAACCAGGGCCAGACCAGCCACCAGCAGACGGGCGTCGAGCTGCAGCCGCCGCAGAATGCGTATCGAGGCGAGAGCGTGTATGGGCCTCCGCCGGATGCTCCAGGGCAGCAGAAGACCGTTTGAAAATTTTAAGCCTAGTTTTGTTCGTTGATACCTCTTTTGCGCGTGACAGAGAAGGGTTGATACCATCTTGTTGATAGCGTGTTGGTCGATTCGGGGTTCTTGCGTTTTTGCTTTGCGTGTATGAATAATATCGTCATGATGTCTGCATTTCTACTCTAGGTATTTAGATCATCGGAGGGTTTAATTGGCGTTTTTTGCTTCAAGACATGGAATACGAGTCTCTTACCGGTTACACAGTGTCGGCCACCTGAAACATGATGTCAATTGCCACCAGCCGCGCAATGGAAGCGACTCAAAGGATAGTCTGCAAAGGCAGCAGGATTTCCAGTGTTGGATCCCTGTAGAAGAATTCATCTCATATGTTCATCCCCAAGAATAGCAACTCGCTTCTACTTGTGATTTCCATGGAAACCGATTGGGTTTGACCCTCTCCGTCAACCCAACTTGCGCGCTGCTTCTGCTGCGTCAACTTGGTGGCAGTGCGCTATTGCAGTTTTCTTCCCCGATTTGAATAAACGCCGGACTGACTCTCTCTCGTTCTTATTCCTCGCTGTTTTCTTCTTTATTCCACTCGTTCATTTTCCACTCTTGCTGCTTGTCACCTCGCTTGTGATCTCGATCGGGACTGGTGCTGCGCCTTTTTGCTGCGAGCCGCGAGCCTTGTTCGCCAAACAGCGAGAAACACGACCATCAAATTTCAAATCTCTTTTTTTTTCCCTCAGATGTGATCTGGGAAAACAATTTATGATATGAGTTGACGACCAGCTGCACTGTTTTCGATCCTCGTCGCTCGCTTCGTTTATATACCACGCTTTCTCTACCATCTTAGTCGATCAAGTCCTTCGTTGTCTCCTCCACCATGGGCCCGGTGGAATTCTCCCCTTGGCACCGCTACGAGGCTCGCGCGTTGAATGATGTGAAGCAGACATTCTCCAGCTGGGACAAATGCATGCAAAAGGCATATTGCAAGTCCGTCTCCCTCTCCTCCTCCGCGCTGCCTACAGACACTAATTCTGATCTTTCCCGTCCAGGTGGCCCGCCATTATCGGCATCGTGATCGGAGTCCTGGTCGTCGTCGGCATCGCATGGTGCATCATCGGCTGCCTGTGCTGTGGCTACACATGCTGTAGGGGCTGCTGCTCCTGCTGTTCCTGCTGCGGCGGCGGCGGTGGTGGTGGACGACAGCGCCATAAGTACGCCGACCCGCACCCGCCCGCGACCTACCAGCAGCCGCCGCCCAACCTGGGATACCAGCCCGCCGCGCCGCCAGTGTACGAGCGGTCCACGCCGCAGTACTCCAGCCCGGTGCCGCAGTACGCCCAGTTCGACACGCCGTCGCACAAGCCCGCGCACGAGGATGCGCTGCCGCCCATGCCCAGCTGGCAGAACGCGGTGACGCGCCGAGTCGAAGACCCCTCGCAGGACGTCGAGATGCACAACCTCCACCCGACCACGGGCCAGACGCTGGGCACGACCACGCGCTCCCGCAGCGGCTACTACGAAGTCCCGTCGCAGCCCAGCTCGCCGCGCTTCGCCCCCGACCCGTACAGCGCCGGTGCCGCCCGCACCAATCAGAATCACCACCCATACGCGGAGCAGCCGCCGTACGCGCGGTCGCCCAACGCGTCGCCGTCGCCGTCGCTGCAGCAGGCCTACTCGCCGTACTCGGCTGCGGGGCGGCAGTCGCCGTACTCGGCTGCGGGGCGGCAGTCGCCGGGCTACGCTGCCTACTCCCCATCGGTCCCGTCGTCCCCGCCGCCGCCGTTCTCGCCCACTGCACCCGGGCGGCAGACGCCGGGGCTGCTGCAGGCGGGGCGGAAGCCGGTTGAGAATTCGTGGAAAGAGGTGTAGACCTGTCTCTACCTAGCGCCTTTACTTTCTTCTCTCTTCCTTTCGTGTACATATAGATCTCTCTTCGTGCCGCACAGCCGTGATGAGTCAGCGTCTCCTCGCCAGTGCCGCAACTCCGTGGGACTAAACCCGAACGAGCGAGCTTCAGCTCCGATGCGCGCGCCCTGAGCTCCGAGCCGCAGGGATATCGCCGGGGTTGGCGGGTTTAGCTGCTGGTATAAAAGACGGGGACGAGGAGGATGAGAATGAACTGCTATACTCTTCGCACCACTTCCATATCATGCACAAGCACGACTCGCCCTCCGTCGAAGAAAAGCACGACCCCCCGACCTTCCCGGAGGGCGGGCTCAGGGCGTGGCTGGCCGTCGCCGGCGCCGCCTGCACCATGTTCTGCACCTTTGGCTACCTGAGCACCTTTGGGCATGTCCCCCCAATATCCCCCCCGGATCATGGCCACGGGCTAACACTCTCTCAGCGTCCTGGAGTCTTACTACCATGACAAGATCCTGCCCGGCAACTCGCACTCGGATCTAGCCTGGATCGGCTCGCTGCAGGCCTTTTTCATGTGCACCACCGGCCTGGTGTCGGGCCCGCTGGTCGATCGCTACGGGACCAAGGTATATCTATATCGATCTATATATAGGTATATATAGGTATATATAACTTATATGTTGATATATTACAGCCCATCATGATCCCCTTCTCCATCCTCTACGTCGCCGCCGTCATGCTCACCTCCCTGTGCACCGAGTACTACCAGTTCCTCCTCGCCCAGGGCATCCTCGGCGGCCTCTGCATCGGCATGCTCTACACCCCCGCCATCTCCATCCTCGGCCACTACTTCCAGCGCCGCCGCGACCTCGCCATCGGCATCTCGTCCGCCGGTTCCCCCCTCGGCGGCGTCATCTTCCCCATCGCCCTCAACCGCTTCCTCGAGCACACCGACCTCGGCTTCGGCTGGTCCCTGCGCATCATCGGCTTCCTCATGCTCCTGCTGCTCGCCGTCGGCTGCCTCACCCTGGTCCCGCGCATCTCCCCCCGCTCCGGCCCGCATTTCCTCCCCGCCGCCTTCACCAAGCCCGTCTACTCCCTCCAGGTCGTCGGCTACTCCGTCATCTTCTGGGGTCTCTACACCCCCTTCTTCTTCCTCCCCGCCTACGCCACCGCCCGCGGCGTCCACGCCGACTGGGCCTTTTACATCATGCCCATCTACAACGCCGGCTCCGTCGTCGGCCGCCTCGTCGGCTCCCGCCTCACCACCCGCCTCGGCCGCTTCAACACCCTCGTCGCCGCCATCTTCATCTCCGCCATCCTCGAGTTCTGCTGGCTGGCCACCACCAACCTGGGCGGCCTCATCGCCTTTGCCGTCCTCTTCGGCATCTCTTCCGGCGCCATCATCGGCCTGTTCCCCGCCACCGTCGCTATGACCGCCCCCCACGCAAACCAGATCGGCACCTATCTGGGCATGATGATGGGTGCCCTGGGCGTGTTTTGCCTCACGGGGTCGCCCATGATGGGCGCCATCGTCAGTCGCTACGGGTTCACGCCCGCCATTGCGTTTAGCGCCGCGCTGATCGTGGTCGGTGGGTGTCTGATCTTGGCTGCGCGGTTGTGTCATTCGAAAGCGCTGGTGTCGTGAGTTTTTGGAAATTGATGGTCTAAAAGCGGTTGTTCATACGCGGGCGTCGGCTGAAGTGCACCTAAAATTTATATATATATATATATATATATATATACTGCTACATAGATTCCCTTGCTGTTTGCATTGTCTATATCCCTTTTTCCAATTACAGCAACGATATACTATACGATGATCTGGAGTTGTCTGCTTCGCCGCACCTTTTGTATCATATTAATTTCTAATCCAACGACGAGAAACAACCTCTAGAGCTAATCAGAAGAATACCGGATTCCTATAAATAACCAGACCCAAAACAAGCACGAAGAAGGAGATATCCCACTTCATCAACTCTTCACTTATCCTTCTGCACCACCACCTCCCGATCACACAACGCCACCCTCACCCTCCCCTCCGGCGACGTAACCATAATCAAGATCCCCGCCCTCCGCAACGGCTCCAGCGGCACCCCCGACCAGTCCAAACCGTCCTCCTCCTCCTCCAGATTCCCCTCGCTCCTCCACCGCTTCCGGGCCCCCGCGCCACTATTACCATCCCTCGTCGTCCCCGCCGTTATATCCCCCTCGGGCAGCGGCGATTGCTGCGACGACGACGCCTGCACCGCCGTGTCCGACTCCGATGCGCTACGGGTCTTGATCCGCTTGGTGGCTTTGTGCCGATGACCGCGGTGGCCGAGAAAGTGTTTGGCGCTTGCAGAGTTTCCGCCGCGTCCTCCGCCATTGTTGCTTCCTCCTCCTCCTCCTCCTCCTCCTCCTCCTCCTCCTCCTCCTCCTCCTCCTCCCCCTCCCCCTCCTCCTCGGTTGGAGAAGGAGGCCCATGCCATGTCGGCGATGGTGGAGAGGGCGGTGGACAAAAGGCGAGGAATTTTGGCGGGGATGGGGATGGTTATTTCGTTTGTTATTTTAAGGGGGGGTGGTGAGGAGGAGAAGGGGATGTTGATTGTTTGATTGCGACCGGGTGTGGGATCGGTAGGGGCTAGAATGAATGGGTTTTTGTCGTTGTGTAGGGTCCGTTGATGGGATTATTCTTCTAAACGAGTGAACGCGAGACGGATGTTCGGTTTTGTTTTCTCCCTGGAGCTGCTCGTCTATCCGCTAGGTCGTGGACGCTGCTCCTTTTTTACTCCTGGTTTCCGCCCCGTAAAGATATATCGATATAAAGAGTGAATCAAGGCGCGGGAAAACCACCGCTTTTGCTTCGAGGTCTATAACCATCAGTTTATTCAAATAAAGAAACAAAAAGGGGAAAAACAGCGAATGTGTCTTTCTTGATGGATAATTCAGGCAACTGGAGGGGATATATCACACTTACATCAATCTCACCGTATCAGAAAACCTCCCAAATCTTCGACTCGCAATTTGAATAAAAAGGTCGACATGCTGGGCCTCTGCACGCCGTTGACCTCACCGGGCTGGGCGTCGGCTGCAAGCTGCCAGAGGGAAAGCACACCTGGCACCCAGAAGCGCGGCGGACAAGAAGGACTGTCGGGCTTCGCGGCTGTAAAGCAAGGTATTCACGAGTAACGGATATCATTCGACTCGGGGAGAATATAAAATTGATCGATATATAGGATAACTATGGTACATTCTTTCCCCCCTAAAAACCTGGTATAAACGCGCTCATGATATCGAATCTATGTTTCAGCCGTCCTTCAATGCCGTTAGCCCACTCTGATTCCCGCATCATCAGTGTAGAAAAATGCTCGTTTATGACTGTTGGATACCGTTTACTCTAGCTTTCTTCGAGCGAAAAGTCGAAGCTTTTAAACGCAGCCTTGAACGCCTCGGCATCAGCCGTTTCCTCATCTTGCAGCTGTGCGGCATCTCGCCAATTAGATCGATTTTCAAGCTCAAGGAGCTTCGCCATAACAACCCGTCCAAACTGGAAATCGAACCGAAACTTTCCCGAAAGGGGGAGCGTCAGCACCGTCTCCGAGGGTGATCCCGACTCCCCTTCCGCTTCGTCTTTCGGTTTATATATCCACACTCTGAAATGATCACCTCGATCTGACCCAGCCGGCCCCACAGGTTGCTTTTCGAATTTTGGATAGCTCAGGTTCTCGGCTTCTACCTTGAATGCAGCTTCCACGAGGCCGCGCGAGACAAGACTCCGGGATACGGGGAGGAACTGCCAGTGGAGGTGAACACCGCCGCCGCGACTAACTTCCCAGGTCACTGCGCCCAGTTCCCCATTTGACCTTTCTTCCAGCATCGAATGGAGAGCTGACCTATATTTTTGCATTTCGTCGTACGTTGATCTTGTCGTGTCAGGATCACCCATCGTGGAGAAAGTTGCTGCATGGGTAAGCGGAACAATCAACATGTGGCCCGGAAATCCCAGTTTGGGAAAGGTGCTAGCCGTGGTCAGCGGTCCTTTTGCAATGGTGAGATAGCAGTCCGTCCCGATCGACGTAATGAGATGAGTCGCGATGTTCGGATTTGAGAGGCAGAAAAAGCATTCTGATTGGTCGGGAGCTGCTCTTCGAACTCGCTTTTTCGCTCGATGATGGTCCTCATCGCCATGTGAAAATCGACTAAAGGTAGCGCGTTGGTCATCCAGTGCTTGTCTTTTCTTGGAGGCATTCAGAAAGGGGGTTACTGTGGCTCCTGTGGGAATAGTTGTGGGGGGAGGAGAACTTGGATCCAGATTGAAGGCATATAGCCATTTTTGCTTTGATGACGCATTGAAAGGCGCCAAATTGAGGAACCTCGTGATATGTTTCAACCCTGCATCGTCCTCTACGGGAATGTGAAAGAAGGGCTCACGCTCAAAAAAGAAGGATGTCTGGGAAGCAAAGTGGTATCGGGGCTTCAAAGTGGCGCACAAATCTGCAAGGGACTGAGTACCCTCAACCGCGCTCGTCTCATCCACTAAAACCTTTGACCCTTGCTGTATTGATTTAGGCCACTGATTCGTTATCAGGATGTCTGCATTCTCTGTACTGTAGAGTGACTTGCAATCAAAGTCTGTGTATTGTGGCAAATATTTCTCATTGACCCCTGGGACAGGCGTAGCTGCTGACTCCCAGTTACCACCGAGGGAAACAATTTTTACACCTTCGGAAGTTGTAAGAACACCCCGTCTGCCTAGGAAATACAGATTTGGACAGACTTCATCATCTTTCTCCAGCTTGTCAATAACCGCTTGTGGGATCCTGTGGTTCCCAACTGTAAAATAAGTGGGTAAAGGCACAGTAATTTCCCCTTTTAAAAGTGCAGTTAATTCTTCATCGTCACCGGTATCAGGACCTCCTTGAAAAAGGTCCCCAACAATCACGGAGAATGAAAAGTTCTGCTTTGCTTGGAGCTTTTGCAGCTTGCCAAAAACTTGTTTAAAGGCAGAATTCACACCTCCAACAACAATTCTAGATGCATAATAAGCCTCTGGACAATAAAGGAGCGGAGGAGCATGTATCAAACACTCACATCTTGGAGGCCATAATAGCCCACCAGTATCAAAAGTGACCGCAAAAGAAGGTTAAAGTGAAGTTCACAGCTAAATCCAAAAGAATATCATTCCCCAGTGCAGGAGCCCTGTTTATATCACAGCAATCAGTAGCTGCTTTCTCAATGTATGCCGTGAGCTGCTGTGATGTTGTTTGAAATGAAAAAGGCCCTGCTGACTAAGGTTTGAACGATGACATAAGAGCCTCGGGGCATCGTTTAGCCGCTCCGCTATCTTTTTTGAATTTTTGAGCAAATTCACGGCGACGGCGAGCTTGGACTCGAAGGATCGCGAGCGAGTTCGAATGCACAATGGTGGCGGTATCCTCCTCTCGGGGCAAGCCTCCGAAAGTACGGAAAGGGGGCACTGAAACAACAAAGGCCCATCGCTTCGAGCCGTTCTCCCAGCGCATCGGGAAGCTGAAGATCGATCCGATCCATCGTGTACGGCGGAACGACGTGAGCGACGAAAATGGCGACGATTCTTTCTCCCACTTCCGGGCTTCACTGGAGCACTGGACGGAGCTCAATCTTTCTGAAAACTTTACGGAATTCTCTCAGCGCGCCAGCCGCCTTTGTGAAAGCCTCCCGCAAGTTCTGTACCATCAGGATGCGATCATGGATTTATTGGTCGAATACATAGGGAGGAAAGATGAGCTGAGCATGGAGCCTCTACTGAGCCTCATGGCGCAATTTGCGAGGGATTTGGGCTCGAGGTTCGAAAAGCATTTTGCGACGGCAGTTCAACTGGTCGCTTCGGTGGCTGCTACCCATCCAAGCGTCGAGGTGATAGAATGGAGCTTCACCTGTCTGGCGTGGATTTTCAAGTTCCTATCTCGCCTGCTCGTCCCAGATCTACGGCAGTTACTGGAGATAATGTCTCCGTACCTAGGAAAACAGCCCCAGAAGCATTTCGTCGCAAGATTCGCGGCAGAGTCCATGTCCTTTCTCATCCGAAAGGCGGCTCTGGTATACTACAAAAACAAAGCTCCGCTCGAACGTGCCGTTGCATATCTTCTGGACGACCTCAGCAAAACCGAAGGGACGCGTCAAATTGAAATGTATCAAGACGGGCTTATGAATATGTTTGCGGATGCAATCAAAGGCGTCAAAGGCGGAATACATTCAAATGGCGCGGATATCTTGCGGTGTCTAATATGCTCTGCTGCTGTGGACGATGAAGCACGAAACGCTGTTGCGGAAGCTGTCCTCGGTGGTATTTTGATCAATCTAGTTCACCACAGCACGCCTGATTCGTTTTCACCAGTCCTCGATACCATCTGCGAGCATATCGAGGCGTCGAAAGTCACCGTGGCGCATTTCAAAGTCAATACCCGCTTGATATTCCTCAGCGTAGTAACACGCAAAGGGTCTAGAGTACAAAACTGGAAGCCTATTCTTAAAGCCTTACTTTGTTTGCTGAAACAAGCGGCCGAAAGCTCGCGGTACAGCCCCTCCGCTGTCGATCAATTGCTGGGAGCTACTGCTGTGGCTATACAGACTTCCCCAATGGATGAACTGCTCCCATACATGCGACAATTAATGGAAATCACCATTCACGAACCACTATCACAACACTTTTTGCCTTTCTGCGTGTTTCTTTCAAATTTTGGCTCTGACCGATTTCACTCTGTCGTTTTGCCATATTTTCAACGGTAAGTATCAAGTTGCATCGATGCAGGTGAACAGGAGCTGACGAGCGGTTCCTAGATTTATACTCTCGCTCTGGCAGGATTATGAAGCAGGTCTTTGCCTTGCCCTACCTCGGCTTCATGGTTTGGACTGCGTAACCTCGCAGTCCAGTAGACCTGGTTACGTGACTTGCCCAAGTGGTTGGAAGGACATTGTGGCTGGACGATTCTCTATCCAAGACCCGACAATAGACGACATTGCTTTTCTAAACGCCTACACCGTGCTGCAAGACACACTGTCTTTCTCTAATCCTCCCCCCTCTATTGTTCCTCATATACTGGAGAGCCTTCACCACTTGGTGCAGTCGGCAGCAAATCCAAGCCCGAGTCACCCAGTGGATTTGGACGCATTCGCTTGCGGCCAGGGATTCTTCGCATATGTTCAATTGGCAGTGCAGCAAAAAGAGCTTGACAGCAATGTGTGGGATCTAGTCAGCTCGAGGGGTGCTGAATTCGCCAATGTTCCGGTGTTTCTGGAAGCCACGTTAGAATTCATGACTGCTTCTCCACAACCGCCTCAATTCTCCGAACAGAAAATCGAGCCTTTTGCAGATGCCCTTCTTTCTATACTCTCAGGTCCATCGCATGAGCTCAGATTATCAGCTCTAAAAATCCTCCAAGGTATTTTCCGTTGGCTCGACATTGAACACCGTTGTATTTCGATCGCCATTGAGATCGAGGACAGCGAATTGACGCTGCAAACTGCACGAGAGCTTTCCATGCAAGTCCGTCGCCTTGCTAGCCTTTATGCCGAAACGTCCAAAGTCAAATGGTTGGATAGACTAATCCCCAACTTTTGCTTCGGCTTATTGTCAAAGAAGCTGGCCTCGTTATGGGATGACTCCTGTCAGGCAATCAAAGTCGTATGCGAGAATGCTAATGGGGAGCGCATCGTTACGGAGCTTGCCGTGGGTTGGCTTCAGAGCGGTAGTGCTTACGGCTCCGACGAAACCGGCGACGCAGCTCCAGCTGAAGATAGGCACATTGTTACGTCCGAATTTCAATGTTTTAATGTCTTGAATGTTGAGAAGTCTCTTTTATCGTCCGTTGAAGATACCAGAAACTCGGGGCTTCGGCTAGTCGACGAGTTTAAAAAGATGCATAAACCTGTGACTCCGGCTCCGGTACATGCGCGGTCTCAGGCCTTGCGTGTATTGACCGCCGTGCCACAAGTGGCGGAGAAAAAATCACGGCAACTAGTTCCTCTCTTCTTGTCCTGGGCTTCTAGAGATGACGAGCTTCCGAATGCCGTTGATGTCGAGTCGTCCGCGACGTCAACCGGAGATAGAACAAAAGCGCGTTGGGATCTACGCGATAAGAAAGCGACACTGGCTCTATTCGGGCAATTTACGAATCCCAAAGTTTTGTACAAGGCATCTGAGGTACATGAAGCTCTTACAGTTCTCCTGTGCAACGGCGACTCCGAAATCCAGAAGCTTGCAATCAAGGCTATTTTTGCCTGGAAAATGCCTGCAATCCAGCCCTATGAGCAGAATTTGTTGAACCTCATCGATGATGCACGATTCAGGGACGAGCTAGCTGTTTTCGTTCAGACTGGCAAGGACAATAATATCATTGAAGATGAACACCGCGAAGGGCTATTTCCTTATCTTCTCCGTCTCCTGTACGGTAAAATGGTTGCGCGTGCCGGCTTACGAGGTTCTCAAGGAGGTGGCCAGGAAGGCCGCCGAAAGGCAATTCTCAGAACTATCTCGCTTCTTTCGGAAGGGGAGCTAGAGCGATTTATTCTGATAGCGTTCGGTGCACTAGCCGATATCAACGTTCTTGCGCAGATGTCCGAGCATTTAGACTTGCTTTCTCAGGAGGTTATCGGACTCAGAAGGCAATATGGTCTGTTAAAGATGATTGAAACGATGTACTCGACTCTGAAGCGCAGAATGCATCCATATGTGGAGCGCACCATGAATGTCATCCTCTATTGCGTCATTCGAGCGTGCAGGCAACTACGTGTCAGCGACGAAACAAGTGAGGAAGAAGCTAATCAGGATACCCAAACGTCCCTGTTCCGTAATGTTCGGCAAATGGGCATTCGTTGCCTTGACCTTGTGTTTTCAGTTGCGCCTGATGTCAACTGGGCGCCGTACATGCCAATATTGTTTGCGGAGGTCATCGATCCGAGGTTACAGAACTTTGCCGTGGAAACTGCTCAGAGCATTTCTGGACTTCTTCGATTGTTTGGAACCTGGTCATCATATCCCAAGTCCGCCCTTTACCTTGGCCGCAGTGAGGTTGTTCCTCATGTCGTCGATATCTTAGGCGTCGAGTCTGCTCGTGGTGAAGTGAAGCTTTTTGTTTTGGACCAATTCCTTAACGAGCTCGTCAAGACTGCTACTGAGCCGGAAAAAGACAAGGATGGCGACACAGATATTGAAGCAATGAATCTAGTTCGGTCCAAAATATTAGCTCCTCACATAGAGCATATGTTGTTGTTGATCGATTCCCTACTCAGAAAACAGTCCTCTCGCCAGCTCACGATGTCTGGAGTGGAGACACTATCAAAATTGGCGCAATTCGTAGAGTCGTCCGCTAAAACCTCAAAGCTGATAAACACAACTATATACCTCCTGCAACAGCCCCCGGACAGAGTTCCTCCCAAAACAAAAGGGGGGCTACTTCGCGTCTTGCAGCATTTCCTTCCCTTGTACAACCCACGGGATAATGGAGAACTTAGCCGACAAATATTCGAAGTCCTTTCATCGATGTTCGATTATTTCAAAGATGATCCAAACCGAGAATTGCTTTCCACAGTCTTTACTCTGTTTTCTGCGCATGATTCGGAGCTGACTGAGGTCTCCAGGTTGGCTGCGGATTTGAACTCCCTATCCTCCAAAAGGCTTGACGAAGTGGATTTTGACCGGCGCCTGGGTGCTTTTCATACGATCAATGAACAAATGTACTCTTCATTTTCTGCGAGGCAATGGCGCCCATTACTGTATAACTTCCTCTATCACGTCAAAGATGATGAGGAGCTTGCGATCCGTTCAAGTTCTTCCCTTGGGCTTCGACGTTTCATTCAGTGTGCCACTGCCAAAGAGGAGTCAGAGGATATACAATTCCGCGAGTTAGTTGATACAGTGCTTCTACCCTCTTTGAAAAATGGAGTAAAGCAAAAGGCGGAAACCGTTCGAGTTGAATTTGTGACTGTGTTCGGGTATTTCATTCAGCTACACCCCTCACGTCCCGGAGTAAGCGACCTTCATGACTTGCTCGCAGGTGGTGATGAAGAAGCTTCCTTTTTCAACAATATACTTCATATTCAACAACACCGTCGTCAGCGTGCGCTTCGCCGTTTGGCAGCTGAGGTTTCAAAAGGAAAGATCTCAGCATCGAACATCAGCACCATTTTCTTCCCTCTCATTGAACATTATGTTTTCAGTCAAGCAGAAGATGAGAATGCTCATAACCTAGCAGCGGAAGCCATCTTTACAATTGGCGCGCTGGCTGGAGGATTGGAATGGAGCCAGTTCAGGGCGATATTCCGCAGATTCAAAAGTTACCTCCAAGGAAAATCAGGGATGGAAAAGGCCGTTATCCGCCTTCTTGGCCAACTAACCGACGCTCTTACGCGTGCTGCGGTTCCCAGTCCAGACATGGTTCAGGAATCAGCTGACGAAGCCGTGAAGGGTAGACTTAGCCAATCCATACCTAATTCTGGCCAAGTCGCATCGGAACTGAAAACCCATTTTATTCCGTTTTTGTCTGAATTCATCCATCATAAGGAAGAATCTGAAGTTAGTTTGCGCTTGCCTGTGGCAGTCACGACTATTAAGCTCTTAAAACTACTCCCGGAGGACGAGAGGGCTCTATTACTCCCACCAGTGCTGTTGGATATATCTAATATCCTTAAGAGCAAGTCTCAGGATTCGCGAGACGTCGCCAGGAAAACCCTAGCTGACATTGCGTTGATACTTGGCCCCAGTTATTTCGGATATGTCCTGAAGGAACTTCGAACCACACTCACCAAAGGATACCAACTGCACGTTCTCTCTTTCACAGTTCATTCCATCCTGGTAACAACCAGTGAGGAATTTAAACCGGGTGATTTGGATCAGGACCTACCGGTGCTTGCGTCTATTGTTATGGATGATATCTTTGGCACTGTTGGCCAGGAAAAAGACGCAGAAGGATACGTCAGCAAGATGAAGGAAGTCAAAGCTAGCAAAAGCTTCGATTCAATGGAGCTTCTCGCGAAAAATGCCTCTGTTGGTCACGTCTATCAGCTTGTTCAGCCGATCCAAAGGCTATTGGAGGAGAGGCTTACTTCGGGCATTGTCAAGAAGGTCGATGACCTGCTCAGACGAATTGCAATCGGACTGCTTCGGAACCCTGGAGCCGAAAGTCGAGATTTTTTGATTTTTTGCTACCAGGTGATCAAAGAATCGTATAAAACTCCAGACGCATTACAGTCCGATGCTAGAGCGAAACCCAAAGATCGCTTTATCATTAAGATGATTGCGTTCAATAAGAGCGGGACTGGAAGAAGCACTTCATCCTATCTTTACAAACTCGCACGTTTCGGCCTTGATGCCCTTCGATCCGTTTTGAACAAGTATAACAGCCTCTTGACAGCAGAGAATCTGGCCGGTTTTCTTCCTATAATTGGTGACGCTCTGGTGCAAGGTTACGAGGAGGTGAAAATTGCCGCGATCAGGTTACTTTCGACCATCATAAAGCTGCCTCTGGAGGAAATCGATCGGAATTCCGATGTATACCTCGTTGAAGCCATGAAACAGATAAAAGAGGCCCCAAGTACGGATACTGAAGGTGCACAAGCTGCTATCAAGCTGATTTCATCCATTTTGCGGGAACGTCAAAGCATTAAGCTGAAAGATTCACACCTTGCGTATTTACTTAAACGCGTTTCTAGTGACATTGAAGAACCCGATCGACAAGGCATCACTTTCAACTTCATCCGTGCCGTTATGGCAAGGAAGTTTCTTGTCCCTGAGATGTACGAGCTGATGGATAATATCGCCGTCATGATGGTCACAAATCATACTAGGAATGCGCGAGACCTTGCAAGGGGCGTGTATGTCCACTTCTTGATTGACTATCCACAGACGAAGAATCGCTGGTCGAAGCAGCTGGGATATCTAGCAAAGAATTTGGATTATCGCCACAAAGAAGGTCGACAGTCAGTTCTAGAAGCTGTGCATCTTCTTCTTACCAAAACAAATGGAGAACTCGCTCAAGATATAGTGGGCACCTTCTTTGTTCCAATTGTTATGGTTATGGCCAACGACGAATCGCCCGAATGCCGAGAGATGGCAGGCATCCTTTTGAATAATATTTATAGTCGAGCTGAATCCGACCAACTGAGATCTATTCTTTCTTCTATTCGAACATGGCTGGAACGAACAGAAAACATATCTTTGGTTATTACCGGCCTGCAGGCGATGCGGATATTTTTCGAGTCTGATGCAGCAGACAAGGAAAATGAGGCGCAATTCGTGATAACCCTGCTTCCTCGCCTCATGAAAATATCTCTCGACGATCAAAGCAGTGCAGAGTGGGAAACTCTCTACTACTCTCTACAGCTGTTCATCAAGCTCTCCAAACTTTTCCCGTCTTTAACATTGAGCCCTACCTGCGCGTCTATTTGGTCTAGAATCCGCCAAAGCCTTTTCTTTCATCATATTTGGATTAAATCTTGTGCTGCCAATTTAATTGGAACATTGTTTGCCGATGTTGCCAAAGCCAACGCAGTTAATGGCTACGGCTCTCGACCGCTTACGGGTTCATCCGGTTTTGGCTTAGACGACAACGCTATGCTTGAAATCACCCGCGGATGCATGTTTTGTCTCAAGACTCCGACCATTACTGAGGATTTAGCTACGCAAACCATTCGCAACCTCGTGTTTCTTGGAAGATGCTTCGCGCAAAACAATCTCGAGCTTCCGAATAAAAACGTAAAAGGGTTCGTTGACATGGAGGACGATAACATTGATTCGGAAAGCGACGTTGATGAGGCCATCGGCTCGCCAAAGCAACGTAAAAAGGCAATTCAATATGTCTTTGAGCAAGCCGCCCGAATTCTGCGGCGAGGACCCTTGACAACGAGAGCAGAATCGCTAACAGCAAAAACGGCCTGCATGAAACTCATCGCAGCGCTCTGCAATCATCTTGAAACAGCACAGATATCCCCGTCTCTGCAAAGCGTGCTTCTACCTTTGCTTCACATGACCGATCCGTCTATTCCCGCGCCACGATCGATGGATGAAGGGTTCCCAGACTACCTATAAATCCCTTGTGACTAGCAGCCAGGAGATTTTGGATATCCTACAGAAGAAATTCGGAACCACTGAGTTTGTCGCGGAACTTGGTCACGCAAGAGAGAGGGTCAAGGCGCGTAGGAACGAGAGAAGGGTCAAGAGGAAAATTGAAGCTGTTGCTGACCCGGAGAAGTTTGGCCGTGAAAAGCTGAGGAAGAATGAGCGAAAGAAAGAGAAGAGGAAGGAGAAAGGGCTCAGCTTTAGGGATAGGAGACGGGGTTGGTGAGCGAGTCCATTTGTTGATTCAGTATGGCGTTCTGGTGAAACGTAGGGGGATATACGGGGTACCTCTAGCAGTATCTGGGATTTGGGAAAAAGCGTGCTTAAAAAGTTGATTTTGAATATTTGTTGTAGTAATAATACATAGAACATGATGCCCCAAAACGCCAGGGTATATTGTACACAAGCCAGTCAACTGGTATAAAATCTTATAAATTCTTCAACGCATAAGGTATGATTGTTTCGCGATGGGAGAAGACGTTCAAAACTCCGTTGAACCTCCGACTTTATGAAACCGATGCCCAAATCCATTCAGAAATCATGGCTTTTCACTGCCCTGAGACCCCTCGGCCTCTGCAGCTGCAGACGCTTCCGGCCACAGTTCCAGGTCTCCCTCTCCCAATGTAACCTTCTTCAACGTCTGGCCTTGCTTCGCCAAGATGTCTTCAAGAGTGGACTTCGTATCCATAAATATATTCAGGTGGTCGCTGATAACGTGTTTGTTGCGACAGTTCGGGCACATGATGAGCACCGTCCCTTTGTGATAGCCATGCTTGGAGATCCGATGGCCGGAGCGATGTGAACAGGGCTTACACGTGAATGTAATCAGGTATGAAGGCTCCTCCGCACGGCGGGCTTCGTTGTATGCCTCTTCTTCCGGGGTGGCAGGTTTGCTATCGGTGAGAGGCTTGGGAGGCTTCGTGGAAGTGGAATTGTGACGGCAGTGGAAGGGAGCAAGTCTGATCGAGGCCTGGCGCTCGGGACTGTATCTTGACTGGTAGGAAAGTGTCGAGAAGGGGTTGACGGCGGATCTCCGCGCCCTGAGGAAGAGACCGGCTTCGTGGGATCGGCAAGAGAGGGAAGCAACGTTTCGGAACAGGCGCTTCGGAGCTGCCATGGTATTAGATATAGTGCAATGATTGCGTAGAGTCGCCTGTGTATAAACTCCGTTTGCGCTGATTCAATCAATAGACGTTGAATCGCTGAAGCTCGCCGGCCAAAAGTCTTCCAAAAGCGTCTTACATAAGCCGGCCAGGAGCTTCCAAGCTCAACCTTCACGCCAGATTCCTCCAGCCGAGCAGTCCGGTCCTTCAACTGAACTGACATTGAATGCTTCTTGGGCCTGAATCTTCGTCTTTGATACTTCTTATGCGTTAAACTCTGCAGCTAGGGTTTGCCGCCCCTCCCCAGCTTGCTCTTGAGTCCTTCGATCTGCCCCACCTTATCTACACTGGATGCATGAGAGAGCTCCTTTTGAAGCACCCCAACTCTACTATTCTCTCTAGAAGCCTACAACGCCAGAGGGGCCATCATGAAGCAGAGATCCAAAGTCAGGGTCCCCCGTCGGGTAAGTTTTATTCTTCAACGGCCCCTAGCACCATATAACTTGGATCCGATCCGTGATGTGACTTTTAAGACTCGACTAACACCTCATCGTTGCCAGGGGGTGATGTCTAGAGATGGAGCGGATTTCAATGCCATGTGGAATGTGCTCGCGGCTTCGATGCGCGAAATTCACACCAAGAATGCTTCGACCCTCTCATTCGAAGAGCTCTATCGGAGTGCGTATAAGGCTGTGCTGGGAAAGCAGGGACTTGAGCTCTACAATAGAGTGATCGGATTTGAACGGGCCTTGCTACTTAACGATCTACGTCCGGGGATCACGGATCAAATTACCCCCCTGCTACTTCCTTCCGAAGAGTCAGGTAACACAGCGGATCAAGCCAATGAACGCCGTGTTGTTGGGGAACGGTTTCTGGCTAAGATAAGAGACGTGTGGGAAGATTACCAACTATGCATGGGAATGATTACGGACGTGCTTATGTACATGGTGCGCAGCATTCCCTTTCGTATCTGACAATTACCCTGCTGACACTAAGATGAAGGATAAAACAATTGTTGCAGAACAGCGAACACCTTCCATTTACGTTGCATCTATGTGTGCATTCCGAGAGATTATCCTAAGATTAAAATTAGACATGCACCCCGAAGCGAGCGTTGGGACAGCACTACAAGATACCATCTTATTTTTGATCGATCTCGAGCGGAAAGGAATAATTATTGATCGCCCTCTCATTCGCCATTGCATATACGTGCTTGAAGGGCTATACGAAACCGAGGAAGAGGAAGAATCTAGCAAACTTTATCTCACATCTTTCGAGCCCGCCTTCTTAGAATCGAGTCGTGAATTTTATTTAGCCGAGGGCCAAAGGCTTTTATCGACAATAGATGCACCTTCCTTTTGTAAGAAGGTTGCAACTAGGATTCAGGAGGAACAGGAGCGTTGCCATCATACCTTATCCGCCGTTACCGAGCCAAAAATCATGTCGGTGATCGACCAGTCTCTGATTCAGCAAAATATTGCTGAAGTCATCAATATGGAAGGAAGTGGAGTGAAAGAAATGCTAGACAATGACCGTTTTACTGACCTTACAGTTGTATACGAACTTGTTTCAAGGATCGATCCGCAGAAGACGGTCCTAACACGCGCTGTCCAGGCGAGAATTGTTGAGCTGGGAAGTCAGGTCAATACTGCCGCCAAAGAATTCTTGCAAGCTCCACAGCCGGCGGTAAATCAAGATCAAACTAAACCAAACGGGTCTAAAGCGCCAGAAGAATCAAAATCACCAGCGAATATGCAGACTGCCGCTGCAATCAAATGGGTAGACGATGTTTTGCAACTAAAGAAGCGGTTCGATCACATTTGGGAAACTGCTTTCATGAAAGACCAAGGAATGCAAGCGCCGCTGACAACGAGCTTTTCCGAATTCATTAATTTGAATTTCCGCAGTGCTGAATATCTGTCGTTATTCCTCGACGAAAACCTCAAAAAGGGCCTCAAAGGAAAGTCTGAAGAGGAGGTGGACGCACTCCTTGACAATGGCATAACTTTGCTACAGTATATCCGAGATAAAGATCTTTTCGAGACATATTACAAGAAACATTTGTCGCGACGTTTACTTATGAAACGATCTGCTAGCATGGATGCTGAAAGGCAGATGATATCAAAAATAAAGATGGAAGTTGGAAACACTTTCACGCAAAGACTAGAGTCCATGTTCAAGGATATGACTATATCTGAAGATCTTACCGCGGGTTACAAGGAACATATTGCTCAACGTGGAGATTCAGATCCCAAGCGGATTGACCTCGAGATGAGCGTTCTGACTAGCACTATGTGGCCGATGGAAATCATGGGCAAGGACAGCGCAAGCCAAGCTCAGTGCAAATTTCCTAAAAGTGTGGATCTTCTCAAGCAGAGCTTTGAAGCGTTTTACTTGGGAAAACACAGTGGACGAAAGCTTACATGGCACGCTGGGATGGGAACAGCTGATATTCGAGCTACGTGGGTGAGGCCAAACGGCAAAACTGAACGCCATGATTTGAATGTCTCCACATATGCGATGATTGTCCTCCTTCTTTATAACGACCTTCCGGCTGGCGAATCACTCACTTTTGAAGAAATCCAAGCCCGAACGAACATTCCCCCTAATGATCTCATTAGAAACTTGCAGTCTTTAGCGGTTGCTCCCAAAACGCGAGTATTGAAAAAGGACCCGATGAGCAAAGATGTCAAACCTACAGATCGTTTCTTCTTTAACGAACAGTTTCAGAGCAAATTCACAAAGATCAAGATTGGGGTTGTGAGCGGCGGTGGGAACAAGGTGGAGAATAAAGATGAGAGATCTGAAACCCAAAAGAAGACAAACGATGAGCGTGCAGGCAGTATTGAAGCTGCCATTGTTCGGATCATGAAGTAAGTATAAACCCCTTTTTTTTGATATTTAATGGAAGTTAACTTCTATGTAGACAACGGAAGAAGCTAGCGCACTCACAGTTGATGACCGAAGTCATCTCCCAACTCGCATCGCGGTTTGTCCCCGACATTAACATGGTCAAAAAACGAATTGAAAGTTTAATCGACCGCGAATATTTGGAACGTCTTCCCGACGAAGAACCACCGTCCTACGGTTATGTCGCATAAGTTTACAAGCTTGCAGCGGCATTTCACGGATCTAGCATATTCAGCAGCTTTCATTTTCACTATTTGGCGCCGAAGGAGTCATGGCACGGATCACGGGGCGCAAATATTTCTCATCCTAGGATTATACCGGGCGGATAAATGGCGCTACTTCGGTTCTCTTGACAGGTTCATACGAGCCAAATTGTGACTCCCTTTTCTTGCATAGTAGCACACCTATTTGCGACCAAATGGCGGCTGCTTCAAAACATCTTTTGACATTTCTTTCTCCTATAGACAATCTATTGAATGGGCCCTTCTAAAGGGAGAAGAGATTATTAAGCCAGATTACTGAATCTTGTTTCAGTTCTCTAACTGCTTTCTCGTTTTAAACAAAATAGGAGCTCAGCTAGACCGCGCGGTAGGGGTATCGTGCAATTATCGTCAAAGGTCATAATCATATCGCGTTCTCCTCTGAATTTCATCCACAGAGATACCAAAACACATTCCCATTTAAACCAACTCCGGCCAGGCCATAGCCAATTACCCCGTTATACCATGGCATGGATCTAAATCATAAATCAAAGAATCTCGACCTCCCCCTTTGCCCAAGCCTCCTTGATCCCTTCCCACCTCACCATCCACACCTCCCCCTTCCCCATCTTCCCGCCCAACCTATCTCCCACCCCCAAACTCATCCGATCCGCCTGCTCCGGCTCAGCGGGAATAATCACATGCACACTCTCCGCCAAACACCGCACAAACACTACTTCCTTGGTCTCAGGCGTAGTCACCATGCTCGTCCCGCCAGCGTTGTCGTCGAGCCTGCGCAGCGCGGGAGGGAAGGCACCGAGAAAGGAGTGGGAGTAGTGTTCGGAGAGGAGGGTGTGGTGTGCGGATAGAAAGGAGTGTTCTTGTGGGGAGAGCAGATTGGGCTGTTGATGCTGGTAGGGTGCTGGCGGTTGGGATGCGGATGCGGATGCGGACGAGAGGCGGAGATAGTGTATCGCGTGCTTGGTCAGTTTGGCTAGTCGCTGACGGAGTAAGGAGCGGATGAGGAATTGTGTCCGGGAGAGGTCGGACTGGAGTATTGACAGGGTGAGGTTGAGGGTGGGATTGTTCGCGGTGGTGCTGGCGGGGTCGGAGGTGGAAAGGTCTTCGATCTTGGAGATCTTTTAAAAAGGGCTTATTTTTAGCTGTTGTGGGTGGGAGGAATAGAATGATTTTCATGATACCTGTTTCCTAACTCTTTCCATCATCCGGTCCATCAATGGCCCTGGCCATGGTAATAACTCTGGCGCAGCGCGCTCCGCTACCCAAAATCGGGTGAGTTGCTGATGGTCGAGAGCTACGAATTCGGGGCGGTTGATATCATCCTGGTCGACAGAAGCAAGAATATCATCGATATCCATTATATGGTATCTTCAAGTCACCTGGGAACATATGGACAATTCGGGGATCTTGTAACAGAATCTGAGATCACGATGTAATTTTGGATGTATCATCTTGTAATCAGGAACATTGGTATTATATAAATTAGGGTTTAGGGCTCAGAGTCAATTGAGGTCTGACGTCATCACCAGAAGTCGAGCCCAACAAGGTAGTTTTCAACTGTTTTAAGTATTTCTATTTTAAAAAAAGTTATTCTTAACAGTAGGAGAGATACGAAATGGTTGCATCCAGTTTAATTGAACCGGACAAGAGGGGCCTCTGATAAGATGACCATACTGCCCAACATCAAAGAAATCATCTTGATACTCCGTCCCAAGCTCTCCAGCGCATAAAACAAAGAGGAGGCCAAGGCGAGTCTGGAATGGCTTGTTTGCACTGAAAAAATAGAAGTGTCGACAGCCTCCAACACCGGTACCGGCTAAATGAAATAGTCACAACAGTGAGAGATTGTCCCGAAGGTTCTAACAGTGTTTAGTCAAGTCAAAAGAGAACCGGACGCTTATTCAAAGTCAAACGGGACAGGAAAGAGGAATGAAAAATGCTTTAAGTCGATGATTCGCCAATTTGAGATATGCCATGGTCTGACTTTTGACTTGTTCAGCGGGAGGGAGAGTTGGAAGCAAAATGTGAACGAAAAGCTTTTCAGAGACACAAAGGAAATAAGAGTTGAGGACATATCATAAAGGTCGATAGTAAAATGCAATGTGTCAAGCTGAGTATTCAGCTAAAATATCGACTAATATCGCTGCAATGAAGTTGCTAAGATAACCTTTCTTATCGATAGCATCTGCTCGGTGATGGCGGGAGTGATTGGTAGCGGCATCGTATTGTGGATTAAGATTAAATCGTAAGTGTTCGACTCTATCGATGTCAAAGTTCAGGAGCGGCGACATAGAACAACAGCCTGGTCATTTACTCAAAAAAAGTTGATAAGTCCATGGGAATCGGGAAGACCGGACAAAGGAAATTAGAGCGTAAAGGAGGGTGGTGCCATCGGAATATCGAGGCCCGCACCGGGCGGGAAACGGTTGGCAAGGAGCGCATGATTTCATAAATCGTGGGAGTATTGTTAGTCGGAATGAAAAGCATTGGCATGTGAATCAATAAGAGAACATGCGACGCCCAGGAAGGCGTGTAACCTCAACGTCGCGGTCAAAAGGGGAATCAAACTCGGAGCTGCGATCACCAGGAAGCCGACATCGTCCAGTTGGGCTTTCTTCCACCTGAAGCGAATTCTGTCCGAATGCAAAAGTTTGAGCACGAGAAAGTTTCGACCGTTGTTTGACCCTGCCTAGTCCACGCTCACAGGCAAACTCATGTTCTTTGGCGGACATTTCAACATAATTTTGTGGTTGGCATAAGCAACGGTGTTCAGCAAAGAAAGCACTGTACCCGCCATGCAAGATATACATTTCCGGGTAAGTCAGTTTGGGGTATATATCAACATTGATAGCGCGATCCTTGTGACGTATGAACTTGGCCCTAGGATGATAGATTAATACGCTAATTTAACTTGAGAGAAAAACGAACAACTTACATGATGGGAGCACGATGAGCTGAATATTCACAATGGAATATAAGAGCAGTGTTTGATTTCTGACCCTCCTCAAAAAGTTTCGCAGCAAGCTGCTCCTTGTCATTGTAATTGACCGCCCCATTGATATGTCCACCTTCATACTCATATTCAAATCGGCAGTCAATGATACTTATATTGTCGTATAAGTCATTATATTTTCCATTGATTATGTCGACCAAGACATTAATCTCAATACGGGGAAGCTGGTCGCCATCTTCTGGAATAAAATGTGGCAGCTGTAATGTTGGCTGCGTGTCCATATCGGCAATGGACTGAATAACTGGACTTGACAACATCATGGTATCTTCATCTTGATTGATAACGTCGTCTGGATGTTCGAACATGCTGAGAGACCTTCTGCACTGTTTCCTTGGCCGGCTAAATGGGTTTGAGCTCTTACGAATGCCATTCACGGGGGAGCCATTGGATCGGCATTGACCAACTACTCCAGATAAAGGGGCACGCGGACGAGGTGGGCCCATCGTATTGCATGCAAGGCTAGGTCTTGAAGAAGGATCTCGAGGCGGCGATTGCTCAAACATATCGGAAAGAGAGAGTGAAGTGCAGGGCAAGCTTACTGTTACCAGCTGCGAACTTGAAAGGTGGTGGTTGTGGTGCAAGCGAGCCTTTCTCGCCAGAGCTGTAGGCCTTGGAACGCATCAAAGACGGTCTCAGTATAGGCGGCCTGGGTCTCCTGTTGAACATTGTCAGAAACCAATAAAAGTTCAACAAGGACCTAGACGGTGGTGGGCCTACAGTGGACGTCCAGCTTGTTCTAATTCCATGGGAGAATCTTGCAAGGAGCGTTGGGCCTGAGCTTGCTGTGACTTGGCCATAAATATTTCGGTTGTGGGGGAATCTAAATCCAAGTCTGCATTATAACAGTACGGTATTTTGTGAGGAAGAGGGGACATGTCCATGATTTCGATGTTCGGGGCAGGCGACGACGACGGTAATGGCGGAGTCGTTAAATTGTCTAATGTCTATTAGTGAATACCATTGCATTGTGCCACAAGGCTTGATTTCGTATATACCACGGCCATTTTCGGACCTGAATAGGCTCGCTGTGAAGAGGGATCTTCGAGGAGTTGCTAACTGGGGGCTTTTGAGAAATCAGCACTGAGAACGTTGCGAGCAAGGCTTGAAAACAATAGCGTACCTTCGGTCAATGTGAAAGTTCTGTGAAAGATCAGCCGCTAAAGTAACAGTGGGAGAAGACCCTCGGAGGGGATTCGTATTGAAATAATCGGAATGCCCGGTTTTCATGGATAGATCCCGGAAATTGAAGCTTTCCGGTCCGAACTTTCGTATTGCAGGGAACGACAGCCCATTTGTACCCTCTGAGCGAAAATGGTGTCCAAACATCACTGAAGGAGGCTGCATTGCAGCCAAAGGGGACGAGTCATCCATGCCTCCAACGAGAGGAAGTTCTCAAGCCTGGTTCCCCGCACAGCACGTTTTTCAACCCACAACACCACGTCGTGATTCGTGGTCGGAGGAGAGGTCGAGGGAGAGGAAGTTCGAAAGGAGGTCAAGCCTAAAATCGGTCGTCACGACAACGACACCTGCAGCCAGGGTCAATGCAAGCTGGGAAACGAGTTTTCCTTTGAAGGCAGCCAAGCACATGTGGTGAGACGACTTCGATATCCGTGAAGCCAGCAAAACAAGTAGCCGTCGGATGCCGAAGTCAAAATGGGCAGGCCATGATGGGCAATCCAGCAGGTCAGTGGTCCAAGAAGAAACGGTGAATACGAGGCCCTGAGGCGGTCGACGGGAGGAAGACCGTCGAGGTGGACAATGGGGAGAGTGGATGGACAAGAAGAACAAGCCAAAGAGGAGGGCGTTGAAACAAGCAACCGAAAGAAAGAGGAGAAGAAGGAGAGAAAAGGGAGGGAAAATAAGCGGGAAGAAAGAATGAAGCTGGACGACGTCTGTTGCAACGGGCAACGCATGCACGCTGGGTGGAGAGTGTGATGATACGGGCGTATTACGCTGGGACGATTAGGGTTTGTACCAATACTTCTGCCCTGGCAACAAAGGCCGGGGATCTTCGATTCTCCCTCTGTCGGTTACCACGGCCACCGGTACCGGTACCTGCGCCGGCCAATCCGTGTTTGCTACTGCGTCTTTGCCGCCCACCACCCTGCTGTTCTCCATGTTTGCTGCAGGTTCGGCACATTCCATCTTCATGGGTTGAACAAGGTTGTCAAGCCATGCTCAGGAACAGCTTCTCTTTCCCCAGCTGTCGACAGGAGTCTGCCCTCCGCGTTGCTAAATTTATCCGTCGTCATATCTCTCCACCACCATCTATCACACGATCTTGGAAACATGGCAGATGTTGTCGACAAACTCAATTGAAACCTCTTGGAGGACGTCATTCCATACAGAGCACCAGATGCTCGAGACCTAACTACGAGGAGGGACGGGAACAAGTAGTATGCACAAATAGAATACTGGGTGAATGCAAAATCTCAGTCGAACTCCCACCAACAGCTCCTCAAAACAAGCAGACCGGCAGAAACAAAGTGAGAACCCGCTCAGGTGACACCAACAGTTGAATTGCCCTCCTACCGTTGGTGCTATTCCGGCGTCTGGCTTGAAATCCGTCGAACCAGGGCGCCGGATTAAGCGCCGTCCTTCTCCAAATCATATAACTCCCTCATGGGGTGATCGGGAAGATTCTCCTGAACATCAACTGACAGCTGGTGGCTCTATTATTGGTTCAACATCTGATGTGCTGGCAATTCGATCGCAAGTTGCTGATCACAACGGACTGATCAACTGCAGCAACGATTTTCAGGCCAGCACGACTCTGAGGACGGTGAGAGGCTCGGTCTCGCGAACCTGGTCGAAGGAGGAATAGCGTCTCGTATCACCATGGCAGCAGGCCGTGCACCAGGAAGTTGAGCTTTCATGGCTGACTGACCCACTGCAGATGGATTGCTGGCCCGACGGCATGTCATTCGCCAGCCTTCTAAGCTGAAGCGCCGGGGTCCCAGGACGAAACCCTGGTTTTCCGCTTTGCGCGAGGAGGATATCGCGTGAATGACACTTTGTATGAGAGCAGATTAGTTTGTACATTGGCATGATGGTGGTGAGGAGCCGAATCCTAGATAATGGGAAAGCCGACTGTGCTTTCCTTTTAGCATTGAGTGTTTGGCCGGGGAGGAGCCGATTGGAAGCTGCATTCAATCATGTGTATCAATCGAATTGCCCTTCCTCTGGAGCCATGCGTTTATGAATGTCTCCAAGCCTATCTAGCAGTGTTGCACCATCACCATCTCACAGCCGCTGCTCAGCACTCGCTATCTATATGTCGATCAAAACATGCAAGAATTAAAGAATGCCAAGCTTCCTTGGCGGTGGAACCTTAAGCAGCCCTGTAATAACGGTATTATCCAGACCAATCAAAATTCAAAGAGTTGCTG